ATGGCTTTTTTGGCTAAAATGGAGAATATTTGAGCGAATATTTCCTCATTGACCCAACATTTCGCTCAACTTTTACTCTGGTTTTCATTTCAAGTCAAAGGGTCACCAGAATATACCATTGAATATACCATTGAAATAAGGCGTTTAAAGCTAAACTTGATTTCACTCTCTGTTCGTGTGTTTGAGTGTCTCTTTGTATCAAATATTTGTTTTATTATATATTTTATAAGGTATTACAGAATCATAACAGTATTTACTCTTCAAATATTACTTATCTAAACAAATACTATAAGTAATTATTATAGTATTACTTGTTAATTAGTATAGTTTATTGAATAATAATTAAACAAGTTAGAAATTTTTATTTATTTAAATGTTAGATATTTTTTATTTTAATCATCATAGATAGCTTAACTAATACTGTATTTAATAAAATTAAAATTTTTTATACGTCTAGAAACATTTTAGACCAAATAGTAGTATAAAATTATTTTATTTAAACAAATGTATTGAGATATTGAGAGACCAAATATGACCTCAAAATATATACGGAAATGCTATATACTACGAATGCAAACTATGTTTTGAAACAAAATGCACTTTAAATTCAGGTTTGGTTCACTTTATGGACAGACATTACATAAAGTATATGGTATATTTTTTACTTTCACTAACATGTAAATATTTCCCAAATTTGGGTCAACTCTTCACTTTTCCTTTCATAACAGATATTATTTGATAAATTGAATAAATTTTAAATTGGTGTTTTGCTTTCATTAAATCATCTTTTTTGGTTGACTTCAATACAAAAAATATAGGATAGAAATAACAATTTCTTAACAAATCATTTATTATGCTCTAAACCTTATTGTTATAAAATGTTGAGTTTTTTTTATCTTAAAAGTTTAATATTTTATTTTTACACTATAATATAGAAAACATAAAAATGTAGCTCTAAAATATTCAGGTCTTATACAATAATAAGTTATTTTAACAAGAATTAACTTTTAACAAATTAACACATGTTATGAATTAATACTAGTATATAAAGATTGAAAATTATCATTATTATCAAGTTTTTATTATTATGGGAAAAATACTAATATTATAAAAAACATTTGTATCTTATTCTCATAGTATTTTAAAACCAATAATATTTAATTGTCAATGTGTTATTAAGTCAAATTATAGTTTGTGACTACGTCAAAAACTATTTATATTTCATGTTTTATTCCTAAGTAAGCTAATGTACGTGATTTACATAATTATGCACAAATCCATTAAATAATTAAGAATATTATTTTAGATTTGATTAATAATTTTCTAAGAATTTGTCCATAACCATAATAAATCATTATTTTTAATTAAAACCATCTGTTTGTTTGTTTGTTAATACAAATTAATAATATTTTAAAAATATTTTATTCAGAATAAAAGATAATTTTGATAAATACAAATTCACCTTTGTATTATTTCGTAGAAATCCTTACCAAATTTATTTTTAAAATATAATTTATCATTTATGACCCAAAGAGCAAATGGCAAACTGTATGTTATGATCAACAAAAATATTGATTTGAGATGATTGAGAATATTGGTTTTTAAAACTATTATATCAAATGAAAAACTTTGATTAAACCATAGAAATAATTCCTAGTACTTTGACTCTTGACGTATTCAATCAAATTGAATTATATGTTGTAAACATTTTTAGTTAAAAGTAAGTATAAAATTAGACTTTTATAGATATTATATTCGCTTTAATAAACTTAATTGAATGTAACATAATGGCTTATGCTTATTTTCAATCTCGTTGCTATATTTTTGGTTACAATTTTGCGATGAAATAATTTAATTATACTTTCAAAAGCTATGAATTAAAGACGACATAATAAGCCTTTAGTATAAGCGATACACAAAAGTTAATCACATTTTTTGTCATAATTAGCCGATAGAAGCGAATCGCACCAACAGTTAGAGTAAACACTTTTTTCATGTGTTAATGCATAGACTATGTCCGTAAATATCAGAGGTGTCACCAGAATGTTGTTAATTGAGACAAACCTCCGGAGAGGGAACAACAGAAATATAAGACCAAATAGTTTGTGATTTCTGTGACAAAACAAATTTAGTAAATATAATACAATTATGAAATATGTTTGCATTCAACGGACAGACAGGTTATACTCATTGAGAATTGCTATCAAATAATATCTAAAGAAAGAGGAGGTGGAGAAGAGGGGATGAGACCATTGAATGCTTGGATGACATGAATACACCATCAATTGAATCGTCAAAAAGGCGGTCATATTCGCAAGGATTACGTCATTAATTCAGTTATTTCTCCTCATTTAAAGTCCAGTAAAAGTCTATATAATAATAGTCGAGAAGTGGTGATCAGTGAAGAACAAATCGCTTCCACGGATATACTCGTAGTCATCAGAAATGGACAAACTTATAGTGATTTTAGTCCTACTCTTTGATTGCTTAATACTAATCACTTCGAGTTCACTGCAAGTGAAGCCATCGTCCAAAGAGGAGTTGCAAAGTCTTATTAAACTAACGCTTCCGCTCCTCCGACAAGAATTCATTAATAGACAAGAATTGGACACATTTTACAATATGATGGCCAATGGTAACGACGACTTCACTCAACTCAGGAGTGAACACAAGAAGAAAAGTAAAAGTATTTTGTTTGTTATATCAATTATTTTTGCGTACATATGTTACCATTAAGAGAGGGATATTGGGTTTAATTGATCCATCGATTGCTGTTAAGACTAATGATAATGAAATAATCAATATGTATGTCTGTGTGGGCACAGGTATGGCACCGATGGAGAGTGTAAAGAGGAAGCTCGACGATTACGGACACCTGAGGTTTGGCCGCAACGACCCTAACATGCAATCCGCTGATGGACTCAACTCACGAGTCAAATACAATGATCCCGATTACGGACACATGAGATTCGGTTAATCTCGACGCCTATTACTAATTATTTATTTATAATTAGTTTGTAATCGTCTTATAAATCAGATACATATATAACTCATTGATAGTAATAACAACTAAAACACAATAATAAGCTGTAAACTAATGTTTATATTTATTTATTCATTACTCGAATAAAGGGAAAAAATTTAAATTATTATTCATATAATAATCGTTTTGTTTCACTGAATATGACTTGTAATTGAAATTATGAAATAAACGCTAAGAATAAGACATTTTTGTGTCTTATTTTGTATTACTTGTACTTTTAAT